GAAGAAAAAGTCACTAGATCACATCACAAACCCATCCATCCATCCATCCATCCAGCTTCTGAACCCGCGTTGTCACATCACAAACCCATAAAGGGAAATTGTTTTTATCATCAAAACCCTCATCTCTCCCCCACACACAAATAGTTCTCTACTAGTTCCACATTTTGCTGCATGTAAAGGAACATGTTAAGTCTTAAACCCCTTGGTGGACCTCAGAATAATCTGCATTCTCCTCGTTTAAAGAACATACCTCTATACCGCTCTGTCTGGCCAGTTTGACAGCTGTGTTGTAGTAGCCGCAGCGCAGCAGATGCTCCACCATCATGCGGTCCATGCGTTTCTTCTTCCACAGACTGACTGAAGCTGGCTGATCACTGCTGTGCTCCTTCAAGTGCTCGATGCGACGCTTGCATAGCTTGGCGCTCTCGTCTTCTGCTTGAATAGACTCTGCAGCCTTCAAGAAATACAAGTAAGGAGCTTCCAGTGAGTTAATGTAAAAATATTATAATATGTTTTTTTTAAGTTATTTGTGTTGAACATTTTAATAAAGGCAGAGTTAAACAGAGGAAGTGATATTTAGGATGTGTACACTACAGAAAGGAAATGTCTGAAGGCCAGAGCAAATAAATGCAATTTGCATTATGCAAAACCTTTATTTAAAGAACAAATTGCAGGTAAAAAAAATTTCTAATTCATATAAAATGCTGTCCAAAACTACTATTTGAAATGCTTATTGTGGATATTTGGTTTTAAAACAGCAGTTTTCTAGTAAAAAGTGGCCTTTCTCAGCAAAGCTTCTAAAAAGGCTCTTTTTTCTAAATCTGAACCTCTGACGTAACCAAAGGGAGTTAGAAGCTCGGCTGCATCAGCTCAGTGTGGAGAGTGGCTAGTTTTAGGGTAGAGAGGTCGTGTTATGGAGTCAGTGTGTTAGGCTTGGGCGGTATTACGGTATTACCGTATACTCGCGGTATTACAAAATTGCGACGGTGTCAGTTCCAATACCGTCATGAAAAACAGCTGTGCGACTGACCAGTTCCTCTATCCTCCCCATACTCCAGCTCTGCAGGGAGAGCGTGTTGGCTGTATCAGAAGACGACCTCCAGCTTACAAAGTCAATAAAAACCACAATTCTAAAAAAGCTGGAGGCCAAGTATGAATCTGATTCAGTGCGCAAATTAATGCGAAAATGCACTTTCCTCGATCCTCGTTACCGTGGCATATATGAGCTTGATGACAACGCACTGGCTGAAATCAAAGCTGAATTACAGGCTGAGATCGTGAGCTTAGAGGGGCAAGCAGCACCAGAAGCAGTGGCCATCCGAACCATAGAGGAACGAGCACAACCTGAACCCCCACGCAAAAATATGTCTCTGGGGGCTCTCCTGCAAAAACGAGCCGCTGACGCTGCGCCGGAGGGTCCCCTCAGCACAGAGCAGCGAGCTGGAGCTGAAATAACAGCGTACTGTTTGGAAGCTGTTATTCATGGGGACGAAGACCCTCTTCTCTGGTGGAAATATGCTGGCAGTCGTTTTCCCCAGATGTCACGACTGGCCCGGAGGTATCTATGTATTTGTGCCACCAGCTCACCATCGGAGCGGGTTTTCAGCACTGCAGGTAAAGTTGTTGGTCCACAATGTGCAAACTTGAACCCAGAAAAAGTAAACATGCTGGTTTTTCTGCCGAGAAATCTTAACTAGATTTGCTGCAACATGCCGTAATGTTCACACTCCTGTGTGTGTGTGCGCGTGCGCACACGCGTGTGGCCGTGTGACGGAGTTTTCTTTTTATAATTTTAATGCAGTTGTTTTGGTTGCAATAATTTTTATAATTTCAATGTTTATGGTTATTCAACTCTTGTTGACTGTTACGGCCTATTTGCACTGTTTCATGCTGCTCGTTGATAAGTTGTTCACTTGATTTGCGCACAACAGCTGTCCTGGGTTTTTATGTTGATTTATTGCTGTTGGACTGTTGACTCTTTGCACTTGTTTATAAGCTGCGTTTTTTGCGTTAATAAATGTTGTTAATAGGGTTGTCACGGTAACCGGTATAGCGGTAAACCCCGGTAAAAAGGTTGACAATAAAAATAACCGTCCAGTTTTTAAAAAACTATATTATCTCGGTGGGTTTACCGTGGCCGCGGTTTCGGCGCGGTGACCCTTACCAGCCACCGTCGCTTCAGCTGAAGTTCCCGCGGCGCGCACACGCACTTTTAGTTTGCAACGGCACCAAAACTTTGAAGCTGAAATAATGGCCGAAGGAGGAGACGGCAGCGCCCAGGACATCCATCAGCCCTCAAAGAAGACTAAATCGGAAGTATGGGCATATTTTGGATTTCTGAAAAATGCTGAGGGACAGTTAATAGAAGACGGCTATCCCGTTTGCAGAACGTGCAGGAAACAAGTGTCTGCAGAAGGCAGCAACACTTCAAATCTAATGGCACATATGCGTGACCATCACCCACGTCTCTACAGCCAGTGCAAGGTAAGATAACATTAGCATTTTAGCTTAAATGCATGACGTGAGGACTTTTGGTTGAGGGAGAATGCAACGAGTCACTATATACTGCAGCCGCAGCGTCCTCTGCCAGCATTTAAACCGTGTCACGGACACCCTGTTGCTGGATGAAGCATCTTATTTGTTGATGATGAAGAGAAATATACAATTAGTTCCTTGTCATTGATTTGTTTACTTATTCAATGCCATTTATACTTGAACGTTTGGATTTGATTACATAGTGTAGTAGTTATTTTAGTAATTTGTTTAAAGTGGCTATTTATTTTAAATACATATTTTTTTAAGGTTGACTTGTACAGTGCTCAAGTCAAGTGTGGACTGGAGTTTTAGATTTTCATTTTGATAGTGAAGAAAACAAGTATATGAGAAAACAAGTGGTGTTTATTTGATTTGTTTACATATTGTTTATGTTTCGAATGTTTGGATTTGTATCATTT